AATTCATGTCAACCATTGATATTTGATCACATTGATCATATCACAACATGGCACTTACGTATACTGCGGTCTTTTGACTATACTTACAGTGAAGTACTTCACTATTGTAGTTACCCATAATGAAGGTATAAACTTGTGAAGTAAAATCACCATTATGTCAGCATATGTAGCAGCAAGACAGCCGTAAACATAAAGCTCGCCTCAATTCTTTTCCACCCTTCTTCAGCGGCTTTTAAACTGCACATTCAGTTCATTCATCACCTTCCAACAACCCGTTATTTTTGGCTTTAATTATAAGACGCCGACTGTTCTCATGCTGATAGAATTTTACAGAAGACAACTGCCAGGAATTGGAAATAGAAAACTTCGCATGATATTCAAAACTCTTCTGTTAGTAATCACGAGCCTGGTCGAAGTTTCTCGCATTGCCAACTCACTTTAAGCGAGCAAGTATAATAGCCTCCAAATGAATTCGCACAGTTCATTCACTCACGCATCAGCTTTCAGTCTGAAGGTTCAAAGGGCACCTACAAACAGATTTCTTAGGTTTATCGATAATAACACACTAAAAAGCAACAAATCTTATCGTAGATGAAAGCTTTTTGACAGAAGTATAAATTACAAAATAAGAGACTCAGAACAATCGCAACGATAATAAAGACACTGTGTAAAACAAATGCAACGCAATTTTGCTTTTCGCAACTGATTGGTAATAGATTTGGATTGTGCATTTGTAATTATATATATTGTTCAGCTCGCGTGAGAATGAGAAGTAAGATTCCTCAATTCATGCTTTCTGGACACTTTCCGGATGCTGAAAACCACTAGCAAAAGTACGCGAAGAAAGTGTATTTGTTCATTGCGCACAGGAAACGACATTCCCATCCTTGTGCGATGTTATCTGCTAGAGAGTTAAATTAATGAGCACGATAACATTTATACTTCATAACTGCAAAACAGCATTCATAACAATCAAACCTGATAAATAATAAAAACAATAAAACAAATAAGTAAAACACAACGATCATCAAAATAAGCAAACGAGACATTTCAACTAACACAAATACAATCAATATAACACAAATGCACAAAGCCACAGCCCCGAGCAACCCCGTATAATACGAAACCCTGTGCTGTAATCTAAGAGACTATGGAATCGCTCACCATCATCACCACTCACCTATGTATCAACAAAATTAACAACTTTTTACAAAAAAAGAACATGAAACGACACCGACACAACACCTCGAATTCAACAAAGGAACACACAGAGAGAGAGACAACATTAGCCTTGACCTCAGTGGAAAACTAAGCACACAAGGTCTTACTCGAGAGATTGGGGGCTCATTCTACGGCTGAGATCTCTTCTAAAAATGATGGGTGTGAGGCGGATATTTCAGTTCATTTCAGTCCAAAAATGAGAATCATAATACAGTTCACTGGCGTTCTTCAGTCACACAAAAGCAAAAACAAAAAATAATACAGATTGATGGTTAAAATACCATCGAATTAATCTTCAGAGATCACCACCATTACAGCTGCTCTTCTAAGTTCCCTTCAGCATGAACACTTTCTAGGCGTTCAGTACCATCGACCTCTGTCATACGACCAGACTCGTTGAAACAAATGTTCACACCATTGTCGTAACGCTCTCTAAACGCCACCACTCTCAACATTAACTGCAAATAACAACTCTGTCACATAATTCTCACAGAAAAACTCGGCCCCTTCGAAATGCATGCTTTGAGCGATATTTCGCATTCCTTTTGCTTCAGAAACAAACCTTGAAAATGCATGCTGAACAAAAGAACTTTAACGGAACGTTAGAAACATCAGTAGTTGAAGTCAAATATCTGATTCGATCAGCGAAATACACAAATGAATCCATGAGTGCACTCTCACAAGTATAGATACATTAAACGGACCTCATTCGGTTGTTCCTAAATCTATCTGAAATGAAATACCTTTGATCTTCCACGTTTCTTCAGTCGCCTCCCGCTCCTCTTGTCACCGGTCCCCGACGAAACATTTTCGTTCCTTAGTTCAGCTTTCAACCTCTTGAAACTGTTTCGCTTTAACTGGAAGTATTTCTCCCTGAGAGCTCGAAACGTTTGCCTGAAATAATCACACTTGAACGTTGACAGCTCGGGTAGAAAACTGACGTTTGAGTAGATCTCACTAACTATTATAAGTCACCCATGAAAATAAAGTAACAATTGTTCATTTATTTGTTTCCGTTGGAACCTCTCCATTGAAACTATAACCAAATGACGGATTCAATTGTAAAATTCATCAATAAGATGATACTAAATTTAAAATCATCAATTTCATTAAATCGGCTCTATGATGGAAAGTGTAATGCAGTCGTTCTGAACAACACCAAACTTACCATTCCACTGTCAACACAAATAGCTAAGATAATTCGAAATGAAAAACCGCAGTTAAAAATCAGAATAAGGAGCAAAAACTCACAGTGACATGACTTGCATGTGACGGAAATATCGAGTCAAATTTATCACTCGATATCGAGATTTTGATTTGTTAGTACCGGAGCGCTTTTTGACACGTTTTCGACGACTGAAAATTTCGTTTTATACGCTTGAACGTAATTCAACAAACAGAATATCAAATCTCTTGAAAGAATTCACTCGTTCACATCTGATCAATCTTCACAGTAAAAACGGAATAAAATTTCTCCCGCAACAAACAGCTGATCAAAATAATGATCAAATGAAAATAACAGACCTTGTCATTATAAAAGCAGTGTCAGTTCAAACTCCAAGCTACTAGGACATCAGATATAAAGACGAAAGTGGCAACACATTTGCGACGGTAATCAAGAGAGAAATCTTCGGGTAGTATATTTACAAGGAATTAGTGAAAATCGAACCGCTTCCTGTTGCTTCTACACGGCAGATTCTCTGCACTGAGTCGATGTCTGTAAATCGATGTCTTCTTGCTGGCAACACTTTGATGGTTATTGTTGGATACTGCCTGTTGATGCGATTCGATTATTGCTTGCCCTTGTTTGGTGCTGCTGCTCACCGAGTTTCCTGAACGAAACTTTATTCGCAATCATCTAGCATTAGGTGTGACAAGCAACGAATTCATACAATCATTAACCTTCTTCCATATTCAGTGAGCTTCTAGAACGCTTCAACGGAGATTCATCGTCGCTCAACACCTCGGATGCTGCACGTTTCCTCTTCCTCGATTCTGCCGATATCGTTGCGTCTGCCATCAGCGGATTCTGATGAGTTATTAGTGTCTGCACTCGTAAATTACGCAGTCGACCGCCGGCACCTCCAAGGGCACGTTTTGCACGACGCATCTTCCGTCGTTTGCAGACGTGCTTAACAGGCCAATTTTTTGAATATGCCTATAAACTGATCCATTTACGAATACTTTCAAGTGATGTTAGAGTTAGCAATGCTTCGAAAGAATAAACATCTCATCTGGATACAAAAAAAGCCAAATATTCCATAAGAATAGCGGCTATTTACTGTAACAGCTAACCCATCCCGAATGGTAATCCGTCAAATCATTAGAGAGCAACACTTCGAGTAGCATAAAGTAGTGGTCTGCCATTACGAAACAAACGATGCATTTGATAAACTGCTCGAAATCAATTTTACGCAATTCAAAGCGAAGCGATACCTCACAAAACTTCTCAGCCGACTCTTTGTCGACGAATTGAATGAAAGCTGCTTGAATATGTTGCTCAACAATTGGCATCAACGAGTATTTTGCAGTAGACGGTGATGGTTCGTCGTTTGGTGATTGCTTTAGATGGATATGAGACGAGAATATCGGGTGCAAACATACAACAGTACCAAATACAACGGCACGACGATACAACGATAAAATATCACATTGTCGAGGTAAATTGTCCTGTAAGTGTTTCGTGATATTATAGCAACAGGTGATGTCAGTTCGAAAGTTGTCAGTTATGAACCCCTAGAAGTTGAAGTTATCTCAAGAGTATGACACCATCACGATAACCACAGAATAATCCAACAGATAGATCTATTAAGGAATGCGAGTAATAATGTTCACAACAAGAACAGTTTGTAAGAGGTCAATAGCCACAAGATGAAATAATGAGATGATGAATTTGCAAACGAGATTTCTATTGAAGTTGGAGAAGAGATTATTGGAAAGTGAACCGTGTAAACTGTCGCCGAAGCGATGTCCGGTTGGCGTTGCTCAAAACGAATACGCAGCTGTTCAGCGGAAGCATCAATACTGAAAATCGTTGATATATCGCCCAACTTTGAAAGAGCGCTTCTTGACAACGATCGATACTTATCATTATCCAAACCCAACGCGGCGACCACATCGTTCAGAGGCGCACTCAAGCGCCCACCAGGATCTTTCGAAAATGCAAATTCACCAAGTGANGATACTCGAGAACATAAGGCTCTTTCAATCTGAAAATAGCATTCCATAGTTTTCGATACATCACGCACAACTGAGGAAGCTCAATCGATCAATAACGTAACTCAAAAATGTTCCAGCGGCGTTCTACCAGGATAATTTCAGAATCATTTCTTGAACCGTTTAGTGAAATAAACTCCATTTATGACACGTTCAGTCGCAGAGATCTTTGCAAAAAGTCAAATATGTTAGCCAAACCAATTACCTCGTTCTTGAGATGAACGCGGAAGGCTTTCGTTCGTGGACGTTTACGTTTGCGTCGGAAACGAACAACTTTCTCCGCATGAGTTCTGGCCTCATTTTCGGAACGCTTCAGCACAGATGGATCATCGTCCAATCGGCCAGCAGCACCTTCTTCTGACTGCAAGTGCACAACACAGACGCTGTTCACAGTAGCCTCTTCACAACTCATCAAAACGATGAAAACAGATTCTGAAACGTGAGAGTAGTGATAAAACCACAACAATTTGCATACGACGAGAGGCAAGCTGAACGATAATACGCGAATTTCGAAGAATAGATTTCGCTATGGAAAATTTATCTACTGATATTCGAAAACTATGAAACATTTTCAATAAATATAATATGAGCCTGCAACTAACAAACTGCTTAATTAACAAAACACATGTGTTTAACAATATAATAAAGACGGTGACGTCGGTAAATTCAATAGTATCAATCGAGGTTTCCTTAACATGAGCAACATTCCTGAAATTCCACAACATTTCATACTCAACAACATACTGATAGTCACCGGAAGTGATTCCATGAAGGAATCGGTAACAATAATTAATTTATCAATATAATAAATAATGAATAAATAATTCGTAATATGGTCACGTTGGTGAGATGATCTCGACTGAATCGCAATGCAAAGTACAAAACTTCAACACCTCATTCATACAACAACAAGTAAGCTTTACCTATTAGCCACTCTCACTACAACGAGCAAACTACACGCATCAAATTGCGTTGACAGAAGAGACACTCTCGGACTCATGCACTCTCGCGTTTTCGCTTGATCACGCGCACGTGCACAATAGAATTACAGTTGTTATCATTTGGACGTGTTGCGTGCAATTCTTTTCGTTTTTTTTCAGAACGCATTTCTTTTCATGATTCACTTTTGCACAAATTCTTTACGGCGGAAATTTCTTAATACTATGAAGTTAATTCAGAAATCCGGAAATCACACAGAGTTCTATTGCTAACGTCATAATAATGATAAATATTTTCCGATTAACGGGCACATGTTATTCAATTGTTTAAAAATCAATCCTAAATGAAGATTTTAAGGGTATGAGCGATGGTCAACGGGGTCAAACGGAGTGACAATGCGAGGAGAATGACAACACAAGCGATTCGCGAACAACTCATTGCTTAAACGTATCAAAGGTCAATTTTCAGTTTCAATAGTTAGTCTTCTTCTTATAGAAATTTTTTGGTTCCAATTTTTGACGGGATTTACCCAACTTGTTTCTCATTTCGCTCCCACTCCTTGCAACCGGAGTCTGTCTGTTACATGTGCCCACCCGCCCTAGGGATCCGCAAATTTCGACCAACTCAAAGCCTGAATCACACTCTTGAACTCTCCTCGGCATTGAATAAACTGGAATGAGGCATATTTTCAACCTCTTTCGGCGGTTTTGGATGGGAAGCATTATGGGGAAAGGATTCTTCCAGCCAATTTGCTCCCGGGGATGTCAGCGGAGTTGTTCATGGCTGATGGGTTGAACTGATATAAAAGTGGCCGGATGAGACGGCCATCATACTACGAATCGCCCTTATGAGAAGATTGCAACACATCTTCTCATAAACGAATCCCCCCCCCCCCAAATAATGAGGGTCAAAATCACACCCTTCCTGTTGCTAAAGATTTAATTGTCTTTCATATCGATAGTAACTGACGATAAATAAGTACGAAGATATTAATCGATTTGATGTGGAGATAAAGACGAACGTAAAGTTGCTTTCTAAAGCAATCAAAATTAGGAGTTTGACTGCTTTAGAAAGCAACTTTATGTTCATCTTTATAAACCTTCGGAGAATAACTGTGAAAATATGAACAGCAATTGCAAATTCATAGATTACAACTGATAAAATATTTCACATGTTAGAATTAAGGTGGCTCGGATATGAGAGGATGTGTTGCAAATCAGTCATGAGGCGAAGGAAGAATTTTTAAAACATTTTCATGTACTTTTCGAGAGTTACAATCGAATCACTCACGAAAGGTACATGGATGTGTACATAAAAATATTAATAACAAAAACAACAACTAAAATGATTATAACGATGGCAAGAATATTTCTAAACAAAATGATGATCTTTACTTGCCAAACAGAGTAACTACCGCATATGCACCGTCATCTGCATAAACGGATGAGATTAAGAATGCAAACGAAATGAACCTACAGTGAGCCTAAGCAATAGCAATTAACTAAACGGTACTCACACATATAGTTAGATGCCACCTGACACGTATTTCATTATTTACGTTTGATAATTTTCTCATGTATTGCTTTAAAATTTATGGGTGATGCAATGATATGTGATATATATGTGTTTAGAATGTTCAATGGGTATTGTGAAAATCTAGTATGTCTAAATTGTATTTCATCTTCTGATTCTGCGAAATACTGCTTTCTGTTCGAATCTTTATATTTCTCTTTCCCTTCGTATAATTGCAAAATGTTTTTCTTTACATTTCTAGGAAACTTTTGCGAGTAATTCGATTGTATTATTTGATCTCATTGCATGTAAAATACTGTTCCTTTCGATTTAAATGAATGCTGAAGTCTCATTTGTGATTTTGTGATTCATTTGATTTTTTCCATTGTATCCATGGTCGCCATATTATATGCCAACAACATCAGTACTTCAAACGACAGCTAAAACTTACCTGAGGATCAATCACTGAAGGCTAGCTGCCACTGAACCACTGAATAAGGACTGGAGGCCCATTACAACCCATTATAGCAACCTAATATCCCATTACATCAACCTATGCCATTCCATCCAACCTATTATTACAACATTTCATTGGGCCTATTGCCTACGTCAATTATATTACAAAAGACACTGCAAATTTGATTACACAATGATTGCTCAGTTGAAAAAGGTGCCCCATAATTTAATGTTGATAAGTTGGGCACCTTAATGAACCGCACAATTAGAAGAGGAGTCATAGGGCGACAAGCATGCCAGCTCCTCAAGGGGGGTTCTGATAAAGCAGTGCCGGATATATTGGATCATATATTATGATCAGATATACTGGATCAAATTGGAAGCCCGGATATCCTTACCTGAGGTCAGTGGCAGCAATCCGACGGAACGAAAGAACATCGAGCATCGACAATCATCGAAAGTCCACAAGGATATTGAAAAGATAAAAATAAAAACATTAAAAAATAATAATAAAGTTAAAAATAAGAAAAAATAAAATAAAATAAATAAAAAATAAATTGAAATAAAATAAAAAATGAAACAATGAAAAATAAATAAAAATAAAATTGAAGTATTAAAAAAAACAAACAAAGAAAACAAAGAAAAAGTCAAAAATTAAAAAAGTGAAAGAAATCACTTTATTCCCATCTTAATTTTAGCCCTCCCCCCTTCAATTGTATCCCTGTCATATTGTTAATTTTATATAACTATGATACATTTTCTTGTTATGGCAGCTAACTACAGGTGTGAACATACCGACTAAAAATAAATTGTCATGGTATTGTGAGCGAAGTCAATTTGTGACACTGATTCTCCCAAAACACCATTAAAATGAGGTGATTAATTCTAAAAAAATGGTAGAATCATCAAATCAAACAACGTGGTTAATTAACACATAACACGGCGGATAAATAATAAGAAATCCACCTTAAAAAAAACTGACAACAGAATTCATAAGGCGAAGTGAACAACCAAATGGCTAAAAAGTGGGAGGGGAATATGCAAATGAGGCGGAGCTAGCCACGTGCAGATGACATTGCATACGCGGTAACACTTTGCCAAAAGATAATCAGACAGAGGGATTAAGGTCATAGGGGCGATTCGGCCTTGATGGCCGTTTCAGTCGGTTAACTTTCGATTCCTTCAGTTCATCCTAGTGTTCGTCGGGGACCCCGGCGGGGAACGCGGGGAGCGCTCCCCCCCGCGCAATTTGCTCCCCGACTTTTTCG